AACTGCAAGTCCCTCCTCTGACTTCTCAGTTCATTCTCTTTTATTGTCCTTGTTGTAAATAATCCATTGTATGATTATTTAGCTGTTCTACTGGGGATGTACATTCCAGGTTAGACTATCACAGATGTTCTTGTAATTGTCTCGTGATACGTGGACATGCATACCTATGAGTGGAATTGCTGGGTCATAGGTTGTATTAGTTTTCTATTTCTGCTGTAACAAAGTTGGTGGCTTGAAACAACATAAATTTATTATCTTATAGCTCTGAAGGTCAAAGTCTAACATGAGTCTCACTGGGCTAAAATCAAGGTATTGGCAGGGCTGTGTTCCTTCTGGAGGTTCTAGGGGAGAATCTATTTCCTTGCCTTTTCCAGCTCTAGAGGCTGCCTACGTTCCCTGGCTCATGGTTGGGCTACTTCCATCTTCAAAGCCAGCAATGGCCAGGTGACTCTTTCTTATGCTGCATCACTCTGACCTTGACTTTTCTACCTTAAAGGATTCTTGTGATTACATTGGGCCCACCTGGATAATCCAGGATAATCTCCCCATCTCAAAGTCATTAACTTTTAAATCACAACTGCAAAGTTCTTTTTGTCATATAATATATTCACAGGTTCCAGGGATTAGGACATGGACATCTTTGAGGGTTCATTATTCTGCCTACCACATAGGCTGTTACAGATCTTCAAGTGTATTAGATAAGGACTAACTGTTTTCTAAATGGTTGTATCAATTTACACTCACACCAGCAATTTCTGTTGCTCCACATCCTTGCTAACACTTTGTATTATTGGAGCGTTAACTTTTTGCCCGTCTGATTCTGTACACTATCTCCTAGGAGAGTGGGGATGCGGTGTTGAACCATTTCCCATATTACCAGTCACTGACCAAGTCCTTCCCCAAATTAACTGATCATCTGGAACTAAGCGGCCATCACCTGCCTGTTTTTCAGGATTGCTTGTAGTAGGCAGGCCCCACCTACTAGACTCCTTACATTTTCGGTATTCCATCAGCCTGTTGGCTGTTTAATGGGTTCAGTCCTGCTTGGTACTAGATTCCACTGAGTATCACCCTGCCTGTCAAGTTGGTGTCTTAATGAAATTTGATGATGAGTCTGCTTGAATGGCGATAACAGGATAAACCAAAAAACCAAACCCATTACTGTTGAGTCAATTCTGAATCATAGTGACCCTATAGGACAGAGAAGAACTGCCCCACAGGGTTTCGAAGGCTGTAAATCTTTACAGAAGCAGACTGCTACATGTTTCTCCTGCAGAGCGGCTGGTGGGTTCAAACTGCTGACCTTTTGGTCAGCACCACCAGAGCTCTAATAACAGGATAGGCGTGCAGATATGAAGACATGTGGTGTCCTAAATAAAAAAGCCAACAATTTCAAGCCAATAAATCAACTGCACCATTGGTCATGGACTTGAACGTGGCTTACGCTACTTAGGGTACTAGGAGGTTTTGAGGCCTGGGCAAGAAGGGTCCTTTGAGATGCAAATCCAAAGCTTTCCAGGAGGTTTCAAGGTACAACAGAGATTTAAGTGTCAAACAACAGAGAA